GGGGGGGGGGGGGGGGGGGGAGCGGGCACCTCTGCGAGGCAGTGACAGGCCAGGGCGAGCAGGGCGAGGAGAGCCAGGACTCCGGCGGCGATGGGGATCCCCGGGGGCATTTGCAGCCCCTCACTGTGCTGCTGAGGAGAGGGGAACGGAGTGAGGGCCTGCGCAGCCGGGGAGGGCGGGGAGGGGTGTGGCTCTCACCTGCTCCGTCCAAACCAGCTGTTTCTGGAACCAGGTCATGGTGGCTGCCTCACCTGTCAGGAAGAAGTGAGGCGGCGGATGTGCCCCTGATGTGCTCCACAGCTGGCTCAGCTGCCCCCACCCCCCAAAACCTTCCTCTTCCCAGGGGAGCCCCAACATTCTCACATCTCACACCCCTCAGGCAGTCACCGCACCTCCAGGCTCAGCCTGCCTGCCCAGGAACCAGCTGGCCTCTCTCAGGAGCCATCTCAACCATCGAAAGTGAAACCCTGCTGTCCCAGGCCGCCTTGGAGAGGAAAGGGTAGGGAGCAAACAGAATGGACCTGGGGCTTCCCATGCCGGAGCCCAGTCCCAGCCCAGCGCCAGACAGCAATTTCCCGCAAGTCATGTGGATTCCTAAAGATAGAGCCGCAGGCGCCCACAGGAGGGCGCGCCTGAGTCCGCATGGCTGGTGTCGGATGGGACCAGCACGGCCCCTGCTGGCCGTCGCGGTGATCTGCAGGAAGACAGCCAGTGTGGCTAGTTTCCCCAGCGGTGGGCATTTAGTGGACTCTTCCTAGGAAAATGGAGGACCAGGGAACCCAAGAAACTTGTCACGAGGGGACCTGGTGGTTCAAGCCTGTAATCCCAACACTGGGGAGGCTGAGAAACAGAGGTGAAAAGAGGATGGAGAGCCCCAGCTTTATGGTAAGATTGAGGGAAAGGCTATGTCTCAGAAGACAGCGAGACAAAGAGACGGAAAGAGATGAAACCCTCCAGCAGAGAAAAGGAAAAGTTGAGGGAGATCTGGTGGCTCACGACTGTCATTCTAGCTACTCAGAAGGCTGAGATCTGAGGATCACTGTTCAAAGTCAGCCTGGGCAGGAAAGGCCATGAAACTATCTCCAATAAACCACCAGAAAACCAGAAGTTGCACTGTGACTCAAGTGGTGGAGCGCTAGCCTTGAGCTGCAGAGCTGAGGGACAGCACCCAGGCCCAGAGTTCAAGCCCCACAAGGCAAAGTTGAAGTGAGGTTTCTGAAATCTGGGCCCCTCAGAAACCAGGCAGCTCAGGAGGCAGTGGGAGGGGGCATAGACATTCCGACACAGCAGGTACCCAGCAAGAATGCCACGTTCCTGCCACAGTCCTTGGAACTACAAAGCTTGCTGCCAGAAATTGAGAAGCATGAACCGATCACACACATACAACTTGCTGAGCTCCAAGTCTCAGGACAGGTGGACAGGGAGCTTGGAGGCCAGGCCTGGCCTGGTTGACCTTTCCCTCCCTTCTGCCCCCCCCCAGAGCACACAGAATATGTCTGGTATTTCCCTTTGTGTTGGTGGCAGCAACATGACACTGCTCTGACAGCTGGGCCGTCTAAAAAGAAAACTGTGGGGACAAGGTCAGGTGCCCTGAATCCATGCTGGGGTCCATCCTCATTCTGATGGGCTGGGCTCAGAGATGAAGCACCTACCTCTACACTCAGCTGAGCCAGAGGGCCAAGCTGAATCTGCCTCTTCCCTTCTTGGGGGAAGGGGGGGCTTGGGACAAAGTAACCTGACTCCTTTTCTCACCTACAGCCCCCCACTTTATGCTATCTACCCTACTAGACTGGGCAAGTCTGCTATTACATGCCTCAGAGGGAGGAAGGGCACTGCCCACCCAGCCTGGGACATTGTTCTCCCACTCCTGCGAGCTGTGGCCCCCTCCTGTCTCTCTGCTGCCCCCACGTGGCCAGTCTGTGCCTGCGAATCTGCTCCCTACTTCATTAACAAGCCAGGGCTGCGCCTCACCTCCCTCACGTCCACCAGAGTCAGGGTCTCAGACTCCAGTGTCCCTAGGCTGGTCTTTGCCCCTCCCTGGACTCAGTCACCCCATCTGTGAAATGGCTTTATTGAAGATCCTGCCCAAGGAGTGTGCATAAGCCCCAGCTGGGGTCCATGCACTGAATCCTGCCTACACTTCATAACCTGTCAGTCCCCGGTTGCTGAGAACCTCCCAGCTCAGGCCATGTTCTGCCAAGTGGGGAGACACGGACGCCCCCCAGGGCCCGGGCTGTGTAGACAGGCTGCTTCCTGAAAGCAAATGCTGAGTGTGGGCTGCTGTGTGCATGCGTGCGTGCATGTGTGCGTGCATGCGCGTGTGCAAAGGCTATTCGTTGTGGCAAGGACCGCAGCCTGTGGCCGCGACACTGCCCGCCTCCCTCATGCCTGGCAATGGGATGCCTCCTCCCGTCCCTCCCCTTTCGTGGAGACGGGGCTCTGCACCCCTGCCCCTCAGCCCCCGGGGTCCTTTCCGTCCCTGGTCCCTCCAGAGGGGCTCCCCGCACCACCCTGCGCCCACAGCGGGCTCCTGATGGCGCTTGCCCCTGTGCTGCCCCCACCGCTGTCCACCCCGCCGTCCACCCTGCTGGGGTCTCGGCCAGGGAAGGGGGGGCTGCAGGTGCTCCCCGGGTTGCCCCCAGATGCTCCCCAGGTTGTCCCCAGGTGGCCCCTAGATGCTCCCCAGTTGCTCCCCAGGCCCCCTCCTCAGTGGCGGCCAGCCCGCTCCTGGTGAGGCCGGCTTGGTAGGGAACACCCAGTACGGGGTGCATAAGATCCCCCCAGGAAGCCCCCGGATCCCAACGTCTTCCTGGGCGGACTGGGGTTCGAGGGCGGGCGGGCGGGCCGGGGGCTTCGTGGGTCTCGGGATGGTGAGGGATCTGGGCGGGTCCCGGGTGCCCCCGCCCCCGCCCGCCCCCGCACCTGCGCTGGCCTCCCCCCAAGCCCCAGGGGCAGCGGGCAGGCGGAGCCGGAGATCAGAGGACTCGAGTCGGCGGCCCGGGGGAGGGGGCGGGGGATTTCCCCCCACGCTTGCCCGGGCCTGCTCCCCTCCCCCTCCCCGCCAGGTGGGGGGCACCGCCGGGGAATTCCACCGCCCCGGCTGGGGTCCTCGCGGGGAGGGGGAGCCGCGGGCACGCACCGGGGCGCGGGGCGCAGCTGTCTTCCTCGCCAGACGCCAGCTGCCCCTGCCC